GCTGCCTCTAATTTTCCTAATTGCTTTCTCTTCTGTCTCAATATATGGCTTAACAATGGAAAAGAAAACTTTGAGAGGTCCTATTTTACGCAGTGGTCAGAGCTGGAAAAGGAGGAGGCAGAGAGCAGCTTGGAGGAGTTCTGTCCTAATCCTTTTCCTTCTAAGTGTTCCAGGAGTGTCAAGGAATGTGGTTGCATACTGAAAAACTGGGCTGGGACTTGGGGAATGAGGTTTGCCAAGCCCCTCCCTCCCCTGTGCCCATACCTGCCCTGTGTATATTTTCATCTGTCAGAAGCCATGTGAGGAGTTTTGTCCCCGTTTGAGGTAGTGAGATACAGCAGTCAGTCTCTTACTAACACTCAAGCACAGGTCTGCTGTGGCTCAGTTTTCAGCTGGTCTCCTCTGCTTGGGTTAGTAGTGCTTTCTTCACTTGGGAAGGAGAGGAACTTTGGGTCTTCAGGAGAGAGGCGCTTGTAGCTGGGGTGGGATGCCCTGATGTACCCCACCCCCACCCAAAGGCAGTTTCAATTTGCAAAAGAATAAAACTTGGGCCTGGGGATGTGGCTCATTTGATAAGAGTGCTTGCCTAGCCTGGCTCTGGCTTCCATCACTAACACCATATAAAGCAGTGTATATTACAAGCCTTTAAATCCCAGCACTCGGGAGATTGAGGCAAGAAGATAGAAATTCAACAACTCTATCCTGATTGCTTGCTGCAGCTACAGTCATTTCCCTCAAGCTACAGAAAATAGATTTCATTTGTTCTTGCCTGTAGGCAACTTAGTTACATGTACAATTTTGTTGGTATTAAAAGTGTACTTAGTTTTCTTTGGAAAGCATTTGTTTTGTTTTTTGGCACAAGTGTATGTGTAAGTGATATTTGTGATATTTTTGGGAGATTCTTCCTGAAAAGTGGTTCACCTCTTGCTGATTCTGAAGCACAGGCCTTTCATTTGGTTTGATTGCCCTCTGGGAGGGGGGGCGTGAGGGGGAGAGCAAAGCCCAACCAGAGGAAGACAAATGTTGGGTTACTACACTGAAACGTGATGCACAACCTTCATCACATCTCTTAATCTTTCTCTTTAGTAACTCCTGTGGATTATAAGGGGAAACAAGTTCCCCAAGGTAGTGAGAAAGTCAGGAGAGGCTGGAGAATTGCCGGCTGAGTAAGAACAGTTTCTCAGGCAGGGAATGCGGCTTATTCTCACATTTAGAACTGGGGGGAAGGTTGGACTTGCTCCTGAACCTGGGTTGACATCTTACCTTCTTACATAAAAGCACCACAAATTAAATATTTTAAGGTGTGAAACCAAGTGTGTAATAACAGACCTGGCAATTAATCACTTAGTTGTCTCTTAAAAAGTTATGTATTACAGCTCCACCAGGTGGCCGCCTAGTGTGGCTGAGCCAGCTGGAGGGCAAAGCTTCTCTCAGGATTTATTTGTATATGTCAGAGTTGGCTACATGCAAGTTTAGGAGGATCAAGGGCAAAGAAGGGAGGCCAGTGCAGGCTCTTCAAACAAACAGACCAACATCTCCTCCAGAAACAAAACCATGGTCCCCCTTTGACATACAGCTTCCTGAATGCCACCACTAGTTCAAAATGGCTTCATTGTCCTGCCGTTCATGGAATGGTCCCTTTGTTCTGGAGTTCCTTCCTAAGAGGGCAACGGGTCTTTGGTCTGAGGGTTTGCTGTGGCCTGTGACTGTTAACTCTGGATGTGGCTGTGTTTGCAATCAGCATCTCGAAGAAGCAGGAAAGGATGCTGGCAGTCTGATGTCTGTTTTAGGCTCTGCTCCTGCAAGTGACTTGCCTTTTTTACACATTGATACTGATGAGAACTGGAGTGAGGTAGTCTTCACTCATCTCTCCCTAGTTCTGACCCAGCACAGATGTTATAATAAAGTCTACACACAGCTTCACTCAAAGTATCTGAATAAACATAAAATGTTAAAAACAAAAAATGTTCTGCTAAGGAAATTGGGCTATCTAGGAAGTCAAGGCAGCACAGAAGCAAACCACAGTCAGCTGTTAAACATCAGAGAGTTAAATTCATTTCCCCACCTTTTTGGTTCTGTTTCCATCTGGATTTAGAGAAAGAAAAGCCTTTTATTTTTCCAGTTTCTTTTTACTCTTATTTACTTATCTTTAAAAGCTTTATTGAGGGGCTGGGGAGATGGCTCAGCAGTTAAGAACACTGGTTGTTCTTGCAGAAGACCTGGGTTTGAATCCCAGCACCCACATGGCAGGTAACAGCTGTCCATGGCTCTAGTCCTGGGGGATCCAACAGCCTCTTCTGACCTTCGTGGGCATTGCACGACATGGGTGCATTTGCCTATATGCAGGCAATACTACATACACATAAAATAAAAATAATAAATTAAAAAGAAAAGCTTTATTGAGATACAATCTGTGTATCATATAGTTTGCCCCCTTAAGATGTCCTATCCAGTGTCTTTTAGTATTTGCAACCCCTTAGTAGATCCAGATGTTTAAAACTGCAGTTAGCACATACGTGCTTTTGTAATTGGTTGTATCTTTTCACATTGAAGACGCTGGTTTGGAAAAAGCATAACCTAAAATTAATTCCAGTTTTAAGTAGAACTTAGAAATGATCAAATGGTAGGAATATCAGTCCCTTTGTCTCCTTGCTTTGCCTCTTAATAACATTTGATTTCATTATTGTTTGTGTCTTTTTAAAAATAGCTGGTTCATTATTTTAAAAAAAAATTATCCATGAATGAGGACCCATTTCATGCTGGCTCTTCTGTTCTTTAAAAAAAAAAAAAAATGATTCTATGCATTTTTACCCATCTCCCTGGTGTGGGTTGCCTGCCTCCATGTGTGCTGTTGACATGGAGTATGTGTTGACTGGGCAGTATTCAGCTCTGAGAACCATGGCCTCTGTAAGTTTGGAACTTTAGTTTTGACTTCAGGTAGACTTTGATCTAGGAGGTTTGAGACATTGCCGTGAAAATGAGTCTGATCATAAGAACTCACCTGGTCTGCTGTGTGCCTCTGGAGCCTGTCCTAGTGCACAGTGAAAGACATGGTAGCTGGTTGTCACAGAAGTCACACTGAGTAAAGATGTGACTGGGAGAAGTGAAGCAGGAAGAATTGCCGATTCTTGAGCTAAGTAAGAGGTTGGATCCAGATATGGGCACAGACCTGCTCTTTCAAGAGTAATGATTCTGATTTGGGTAAAAATTTTGAGACGAGGGCTAGAGAGATAGCTCAATGGGTAAAGTGCTTGTTCTACAAGCTGAAGTGGACCTGAATTCAAATCCCAGCACCATATACAAAGCTGGATGTGGTCACACATGGAGTGGGGCATGTGCATCTATAACCTGAGCCCTGGGGTCAGGGCTCAGGGCCAGAAACAGGAGGATCAATGGAGCTTCCTGGTCACCAGCTTACTTCCAGTCCCAACATGGAGGGTCATAGAGCAGGAGAGCAGAACACCTGTTGTCATCCTCTGACTTATGTGTGTGTGTGCATGGGCATCTGTCCAAGCAGGGCATGTACATCACACATGCTTTTTCTTAAACAACAACTGAAAAATAGCATTACAACATGCCTTGTATCAAAGGTACAAAATTAGCGTTTTGTTAAAAAGGGAGTTTTATGGGCTGGAGGTAGCTCTGTTACGGGGCATTTGCCGGACATGATAGGCCCTCCCTGCCTTTAGTCCCCAGCCCACAAAAGAGTATGTGTGCACTTTCTGTTTGTCAGAAGACCAGTTCCTTCTAATAGCCATGTCATAGGATCATATGGACATAAGATGCTTTATTTAGCCAGAGCACACATTTGGTCATCTTATATTTTTTCCTAGCAGTCTTCTGGGCTAGATAATTTCCCTGTGTCTTCCAAGTCCAGGAGAAACGAGGGCAGCTTTCCAAGTGTTAGTCTTGGCTCTGGAACTTAAAATATATCTTCAGTTTTCAGTGCCCCTTAGTCATGTGTGTGAGTCATATTTTACATTGTCATCTTAGAATGCACTGGAAAGAGCTTTTGGACATTTTCTCTGTGTTCTAATAATCCAGTTAGTGGCATGCCAGTTCACTTCTCTCTGCTCATTTTCTACTTCTAGAGAAAGTGGAGGTTGTAGGGATGGGTGTGGGAGAATTTAAGATGAATTTTGGGCGTCTTGTCCTGTTCTAAATATTGAACAGGATTGCTGAAAGCGCAGTGTTCCAACAGCTTCTGGACCACATCGGTGTGCATTTGCTCACTGCTGATTGGTCTGCCACAGTTAAAGTTCCTACTGGTCCATGCTGCACATAAACTTCTGCAAGACTTTGTTATAATCTAAAACATTTAATATGCTTGACTTTTATACACTTAAAAATTTTCCAGAGATATCTTTGTCATAAAGCATTCAGGGTGCTTTTCAAAGACTATGAACAAGAATGAATATAAATAGAATTGGGGCCATTTATCAGTATCTGTTATTTTGTTTCATTAATTGAATTAACGTCTAAGCATTTAGCCCAAGGAATATCTGCAGCACTGTTTATTAATGGGTTAGCCTCAGAGTAAATGCAAAATATTTGAGTTCTTGCAGTCTTCTACCTCCTACGAAGGACTAGAATAATAAACTGAAAGCTCTTTGTTCCTTCTCCCATTTATTCTTTCCTATTTATCCAGATGACTTTTTTTTTTCTACTACCATGTAATCTAGACCTAATGAATTTTGTGTTCTGAAAAAAACAAAAACAAGGGGCTAGGAGTATAGCTCAGTGGTAGAGCATTTGCCTAGCATCAGTCGCAACACCACAAAAAGAATTTAAAAAGGACAAAAACCAGTGATTTAAATGTCACCATTAATTTGTAGCCAAATGATGACAGAAGAAAAGTCCCTAATGCGTGTAGGGCTCTTTGGCTGATTCCCTTTATACAAGGATTCTAAAGTCTTGGGTTAATCTGCTTATCTCATTAAACACATTGACCAGATACTGCTTTGTACTTTTTATAGTAATAGTGTGTTGTTTTTTTTAAGATATTCTTGGAACAGAAGATGCTGTTGTGGAAGCAACTTCCAGTGACACCGTGAGGTTTTATCCGTGGACCATTGATAATAAGTACTATTCAGCAGATATCAATCTGTGCGTGGTGCCCAGCAAGTTTCTGGTCACTGCTGAGATTGCAGAAGCAGTCCAGGCATTTGTGGTTTACTTTGACAGCACACAGGTGAGCTTTTGTTTTCTGCAGAGCCTTGAATGAGAAATTTTCATAGGCTTTCTTTTTCTAAGTTCCCTCAATGTGTCTTTTTCTATTTTTGTTTGTTTCTGCTCCTGTAGAAATTGGGTCTTGACAGTGTCTCCTCATGGCTTCCCCTGGTCGAGGCATGGTTACCTGAGGTGATGATCTTGGTCTGTGACAGAGTGTGTGAAGATGGTAAGACCCTTCCATGGAGTGATGTTTGGTACACATTTACCATGCCATGCAGACTGAGTGCATCCGTGTCCTAGATTCACCATGTTACTGTTTTATGAAAAATCCTTTCAGCTATTTCTCTTTAGAATCTTACAATATTTGTGTTGGTTTTTGCATACTTTGGGACTGAGATTCTAGATGCCTTTAGAATAGCATTGATGTTTAAGAGAAAACATTGAGATCTGTGGAGAGTATTGAAAGTTGTTCATGTTTTATGTTACTTTCCTTATAAAGATTCTTTTGCATATGGTTTTAGGAGTAAACCGACAAAAAGCTCAAGAATGGTGCATCACACATGGCTTTGAACTGGTGGAGCTCAGCCCAGAGGAGCTGCCTGAGGAAGATGGTGAGTGTTGATGTGTCTGGGGAAGCACGTGGTGGTTGAGGTAGAAGAGATGGTTTAACACAAGGTAGAAGAATCACACTGAAATCCTGGAAACATGGCTTTTCTGCAGCTGTGTAAAAAGAGTTGCATAAAATCCATTAGTGAGATCTGACCAGTTTGTCACGTTTCACGCATTTGGCCTCACCATCCATTTTAGAACTTTTGAAAATGTGTGACGAAAGCAAAAGATTGCTATCCAAAAAATCATTCTCATTCCCCAATTTTTTTCCCTGCTGTCAGATAAAGTGGGTTAGACCTGTGCTCACAAAAGTTTATGTTTTGGCTTTTGAATTCATAGTAAGCTAAGGCTGAATTACCAAAAGACTCAGGAGGCATGCCAGACCTACTGATATTGGAATACTGAGCAAAAGATAAACTCAGAACCCTCCTCCTCACAGTCCCTAGGGCCACTATATGTCACCTGCCTTCTACTGCTGCCTTTCCTTCAGTCCCCCCGCCAGGTGTGGTGGCCCATGCCTTTAATCCCAGCACTCAGGAGGCAGAGGCAGGTGGATCTCTGAGATGGAGGCCAGCCTGGTCTACATAAGTGAGTTCCAGGCCAGCTGGAGCTATGGTGAGACACTGTCTCAAAAAAACAAAAAAAGAAAAAAAAATTTTTTTTCGTGTGTGTGTGTGTATGTGTGCAGGTGCCCCCATAAGCTAGAAGAGAGCATCCGGTCTCCTGGAGCTGGAGTTACAGGTGTTTGTGAGCCACCTGACATGGGTACAGGGAACCAAACTCCAGTCCTCTGGGAGAGCAGCAAGCACTCTTAATCCACTGAGCCATCTCCTGTGTGCAAACCATGTGTATAAATAATTGGATTGGCCAAATGGAATGCCCTAAATACCAAGAAAAGGCACAATGCTATGGTATTTTTCAGAGATGGGGAGACTACTTCTGTAGAAGTTCAGAGAATGGTTGGCACTGGGAACTCTCATATGTCAGCCCCTTCGTGGGGAAGAAATGGAAACGGTGCTGGATGTGTGGTTAGAGGCTGGTGGGAGGTAGCCCTAGGAAGATACAGCTTGTCCCCAAAACATTCCTGCACATAGGTAGGATTCAAGTTGTCGTTCATACTGTGGGTGAGAATGAAATAGAAAAAGCAGATTTTCATCCATGTATGTTTTAAAGAATATTGAAAATTGGCAAAGGCAGGTTTTCCTTCCATTGTTTAAGTTCTCTAAAACGTGGGCCCAACTGTGTATTTATGTAATTGCTTATTTCTGGCTATAGAATTCTCTCTTCTTATTGCCTTTGGGAGTCAAGTTTGACTGTTACCACCTTGGAATTTGCTCCTTTCCACCCACTCTTCTCCCGTCTGGGAACAGTGTCGACATTTTTATTAATTGGATCTTTTTAAAAAAAAATGTTTATTTCAGTATTTTATTATTTGTGTGTGTGGGGGGTGGCCACTTCATGCCCTGATTCCCATATGGAGGTCAGAGGATAACCTTGGGAGTTGGTACTCTCCTCTTACCATAGGATCTGGGGATCAAACTGAGATTATCAGGCTTGAGCAGCAAGTGCTTTTACCCACTGAGCCATCTTGCCCTGATTCAGAGTAGTCCTAAAATAAATTTGTTTTAGATAGGTCATCTTGGAGTAAGAGAACAAAAAGCTTCTAGAATTTTTAAATGCAAATTGTTCCAAAGCCGTATTTCTTCATCCTTCATTTGTGGTTATTTTTCACACATCCATGTGAGACTTTAGGATTGTTTGCATTAAATTTTGTATTACTGGTTCTAGCTCTTCATTTGAGATTGTATTTTGGTTCCTGGGTTTAAGATCTCAAGCGTTAGTAATTCTTTTAAGAACTGAGTCATTCATAGTTAAGATGAGCTTGACTCTTTTTTGTTTTTGTCCAACCATCAATGGTTATAAACTCATCTCTGTTGAATATTTTCAGTTTAATCCTCACCATGTTACTTCCAGGTTGGTAGATGCAAGTCTTTAAATGACTCATTAGCCCATCAAACAGTTGCTGAGTGTCTTCTGTCCTTCAGGCACTATTAGGCAGTGGGCACAATGAACTCAGTAAGGCATGGTTCCAGCCCCCTGGAAGTTTCTAGTACAGGGTGGGTATTACTTCAGCGAGCCATGAGTTCCTACTGCAGATTCCTACTGTTCTTTGAGGCTAGTATAAGTGAACTCCCCACAGTCAAATAGCTGATTTCAAATCCAGATCTTCCAACTTCTAATTCTGCTTTCTTCCTGTTAAACCTCCCAGGGCCAGGCCAGGCCAGGCCACTAGACATAGGCTCTTTGTGAACTGTATTCTACAAACTCTTTTCTCTTTGAACTGCCACATGTAAACTATTTCTGCCCTTATTTTTCATATGCAATCTTACAATCCTCAGTATCTGAAGAATCTGTGTTTACTTTGTACATACTAGCTTGTGGTTAAGAAACCACAGTATCACTGGTATTCCAACAGAAATTAAAGTCATGCTACTTTAAGCAGGATCAATCAAATTCTAGAAATAAGGTAATACTACTACTAAACCAAGTCCCTTCCTCCCTCCCTCCCTCCCTCCCTTCCTTTCCTCATGAGGCATTGGGAGGTAGAACCTAGGGCCTCATGCATACCAAGCAAGCACTCCACTACTGAGCTGTATCCTTCTAACCTTTTTACTTTTGCTTTTGAGACAGAACCTCACTAAATTACCCAGGCTAGCTTTCAACTCACTCTGTAGCCTAGGCTGGCCTCTAACTTGTAACTCCAGTGCATATGACTGGAGGCCATAAGAGGACATTAGATCCCTGGAGCTGGAATTTAAGGTGGTTGTGATGTGCTGCTAAATGTGGAGGCTAGGAACTGAACTCTGGGCCCCTGCAAGAACAGTATACATTCTTAACCTCTGAGCCATCTCTCCAGCCTCAAAATTAGTATGTTTAGTGCTATACTTGGTTGAAAACTTACATTTTCAAGAAAATGTGAGTGAATTTCATTGATGAGGTGATAGAGATGACTTTATCATCCAGTCTCTTATAGTGTGTTTAACTATTTTTGTTTATAGCTTATTTCTATCAGAAGCTCTGAGCTCTGTATTTTCTCTTTTTTTTCTTATTATACAAGTGCATTGTAAAGCAACAACAAGATACGGAAGATGATCAAACTACAATTATTTGAAAATGTGGCTTCAGGGATAATATGTATGTGTATGTAGGTATGGCTGAGTGTTTGCTAATCTGTATATTTCTTTCCCCGTTAGATGACTTCCCTGAATCTATAGGAGTAAAACGGATTGTACAAGCTTTGAATGCCAATGTGTGGTCCAATGTCGTGATGAAAAATGGTAAGTCATTCCAGTCTATGCTATTTTTATCCTTATTTGTATATATGTGGAACCATTTGGGTTATATGAAATTTTTTGGTGTGTCCAATTCTCAAGTCTTCAGTTGAAAGAAAAACCAAAAGTAACATCGTTGGGGATATTTAACATGTGCTTAATAGATACTGATGCCTTGTGTTGTCTTTCGCTTTAGGAATAACCTTGCCTTGAGGAACTCCTTGTCCAACTGTGGAATTCTTTATAGTATTTCTGTCTTTGCCTTCTCTGGACATTTTATGGAAGTGGAATTTCAAATGCGAACTTTTCAAATGCCAGGTCAACTGGCAAGGTTGTAGTTGATGAATGCAGAGTGCCTGAGGCAGCCAGTAGGTGTCTGGTCAGAGGTGCAGTTGCTTTGGGCTTGGGTAGAGAGAGAGAGCTTCGAAGAGAAAGTGAGTTCTGGTACTGTTCACAGGGTGGTCAAGATTGAAAGGGACAAAGTTCAGCCGGGGAGGAGGCGTGGCTCCCGAGACAAAGGCTGTATGCTCTAGAGTACCTACAAGAGTTCTCCTTGTCATCTCTAAGTAGGAGCTACCTTAGAGACCAGAATACTAGGCAGAAAATTGGTACTGTCCCATGTAGGAGGTGGCATTTCTGAAGAATCAAAATTAGGGCAGTATGTAGGAGATTTGGCACCTGAAGGAGGTAGAATTAGAGTCTGAGATCGGAGCTGTTGCAGAAGGCTGGGACCTGGGCGACATGATGGCAGTAGCTGTGGGGTGGAAGGTGGGGTCTGAAATGTAGTCTATCATTGGCTGGCCCTGGCTCTTGGAGTCTGCATTGGTTTGCTAGGGCTTTGAGAACAAGCACACAAACTGGTTGGCTCAGAACAGCAGGCTTAGACCATCTACACTATTAAAATAATTTTAAGATGTGGTCCATAAACTAGATCAATTTAGAATAAAGTTCTATTCAGTACTACCTGTTATAGATTTCCAGAATTAGTTTCAGAAGAACTTATTTGGTGTTAATCATTTTTTGAAAACTCTGACCCCTCCCTTCCCCCTTTTTTTCATTAACAAAGTGATGCCTTATAATGAATGTTTATAGCTGTACAGCCAGCCTGCCATAACTATGTAGCTGTGTGTTCCATGTTCTTAGAGTCAGCAAACCACTAACTGGAAATAGTTGGAAGGGATGTCTCCATGCCGAATACAGACTTTTTCCCTTGTCATTGTTTACTAGATAATGTAGCATAAGAGCAACAAATAGAAAGAATTTAAAGTCTGGGAGGATGTACATAGCTTATCCTATAACATTTTACAGAAGGGACTTAAACATATCCATGGATTTGGTGACCACAGAGGTCCTGGGCATCTGTAAATTTAGAAGGTGCAGTGAACACACTTTATTTCTTTGACAGCATGGATAAAAATGTTTTTTAAAAACCATCCTATTTGTTTGAAACATCAAAGCAAAATTCTTAAAAGAACTGCAAAGGAAAGAGTGCACTGGATAACTTTAGTATCAACTTGACACACCTGGGCTGAGGGAGCCTCAGTTGGGGAATTGCCTTCATTGAACTGGCCTGTGGCCATGTCAGTAGGGTATTTTTTGATTGTTGAGGGATGTGGGAGAGCCCAACCCACTGTGGATGGTGCCACCCCTGGGCAGGTGGTCCTGTATTGTATAAGAAAGCAGGCTGAGGGCTGGAGAGATGGGTCAGTGGTTAAGAACACTGGTTGTTCTTGCAGAAGACCCGGGTTTGAATCCCAGCACCCACATGGCAGCTAACAACTGTCC